CTTATAGATATCAACTGCATTGATTTTCCAAACGATTCGATAAACGACAAAGTCGATATATAAAATTGGGAATGAAAAGTTGGGAATCTGGAACGTGTCTTCATCTCTTTATATCAAAATTCGTTGCTTTTTAAAAATTTTAATTCCCTTAAAGGGAAACGTACGTTTAAAATGGATTTTTCTAAACGATGACATTTTCATTCTCGATTAAAAAAAGTATCTCAATTATATTCGAGCGTAAACGGAAAAAAAAAAAAAAAGCATCGAAGACAATTCTACCAATTTACTCTCCACTTAAAAAAAAAAACTCTCCTTCGTTAAAAAAGCGCAAACCCCTTTCTCCCACTCCAGTCCCCAAACAATCCGCAAAATCACTCGAAAAACACGTACACTGTCCCTCCCTCCCTCTCTTCCATCCTTCAAAAAAAAAAAAAACCCAACCACTAGCAACCACTAGAAACTTTACTAATCATCGTCATAAACTACGGAACCCCTAACTCAATCCCACGGAGCTATCTCCAGCCATCTCTCTCCTCCACCCTTTTTCCTATTCACACCCCTCCCCTCCCCCGCTCTGGATTAATCCCGTGGATGATTAATCTCCAAAGTCGGGCGCCGTTTCCGTTCGTGAAAAAGAAGGAGCCATCAACCAGCACCGTGAAAAACTTTCCCTTCGAACCGGTCGTTAATCGAGCCGTAATAAAAAAAAATCATCCTTCTCGAGAATGGCATCTCCTCCTCCTCCTCCTCCTCGAGGCGGCGTCGCGACGTCGCGACGACGCGAGACCCGCGCACACCCATTACTCGTGCATCGGTGGCCGCGTGACATTAAGGAGCAGCGAGCGCGTGTGTCGGCTGGGATAAATGCGGCGGAGCCATCCTCGGCTTGTTCTCGTCTTCCGGTGAAGAACATTTTTAGGACAGCATTCAGCCCTCTTAGAGGGCGGAAAGTGGCGGACCCGTCAACCTTTTATTCCTCGATTTATCCGTCTCGCTTATCCTTCTCGCGCACCCAGAGAATCCTCTCTCTCTTCCTCTCCACGCTCTTTTGCCTTAACCCATTCTCTCTCTCTCTCTCTCTCTCTCTCGCTCGCTCGCAGACCTCACGGCGACGATCTTCTTTCACTCGAGACCCATTCGTTTCTTCCCATTCGTTACCACGCGTTGGACGCGTCGTCGACGAGACGCGTGTCCCCTCCCTCCTCCCATTATTTTTTATTTATCGCCACGACGGCCCCGATTCTCTTCTCTTCTCCTCGAGGCGTCGGACATACCTCGACAGACAGAGGCACGGAGAGCCTCTGAGGAGGGGCGAGTGATAAATAAATAAATAAGGAGGAGAACAGGAGGAGAGAATCGAAGAAGAGGAGAGGAGGGACGTCTGTATCGCGCTCTCTCTGATTTTCCTCCTGATTAATGGGCTGTTGTGCACGCTCGACGGAGAGAATTGGAGGGGTGGGGGAGTGTTAATGGGTTGATGAGTCGGTGAGGATTAATTGGGGATGATTGGTGGAGGATTTGGGATTTCGTTTCGGGCTGGATTTTCGATGACGTATATATAGGCGTGTATACATTGATATATAGATATTAGGAATGTACATTAGCGGTGGAAAATATCGAATTTATGTGGTCATCGGTGTTATCGATAAACGTCTAACCCTGTTCCAGGTGTTCGAAGATAAAAGAGCAAGGGAATATTCGTTCATTCATCTCTCTCTCTCTCTCAAAAGGAAGGAAGTAACAAAGGATAAAGGGAGAGGGAAAAAATGGAGCGTCGAGGCAGGTGAAATAATAATAATAATAATAATAAAGGGGTGAGCAAGAATGGAACGAGACGGACAGTAAGGAATCGAGGCGGAAGAAAGAGTTCTTCCTGTGATTAATTGAAATGCATTAACTCTTGCCACGAGAAGTTCGCGGGTAGAATAGCACGGGAAGATCGAGAAACGTGTCACGCGCCGTTTCATCCTCCTCGATTTCGAGAATTGCCCCGTCGCATCGCCAATGAATTTTTCGAATTTCTCCTACGCGGTGCAAAAGGCTCGTACGTGGCGAGTTACAAAAAAAAAAATGGGGGAAAAGGTAAACTAATATCGGGATGTAAAAAATTTGTTCTGGAAATTTGGATACATTTGGAAGTTTTCAACTTTGCGTTTACTTGTTCGTTTTCTTCGACAATTTCTCACGTTTACGTTTCGAGTATATATCGCGTATATTGCAGCGAAGAAATGAATCTAACTGGTCGAATCTACGAGCGAGTTTTTATTAATTTTCAACATTTTCAAAATCGAGGTTGAATAGAGTTCGAGCACGATGAAAGAAAGGATGATTATTAAAATAAAATATCGTACGATATTTCTTTTACGGGGGCGTTTATCACACGCCTCGAAACAAACAAATATTTCGTCGTATAACAGTTTTGAAAAATAGAAATTCGTTTCGATACGGTTTTTGCAATTTTCACTATTTTTCCCCTCCATTTTTTTTTTTTTTTTTTTTACGGATACAAGTATATCACGACGAAGAATGGTTAATATTTGCACGAGGAAAATATTTCATCGATTCCAAGTGAACCGTATCCGTTCGAAAGCGGGCGCAGTTTCGGAATTTCACCCTCTTCCAGAATTTT